GTGAAATATGACCGAACAGCAGATGTACAACCGCTATAACCAATACATGAAACACTAGGAATGAAAACTTACCACGGAGGTTCTTAAAATGTAAAGGTAAAATATGTGTGTGCAGTAAGTGCATATTTCGCGTTATTGTAGTATTTACCCAAAAACCATTTTCATACAACTTTTAAATTTTAGGAATCTTGTCCTTCCATAAATTTGCTATTGTACTAAAGGGTATCTATGGTCAAAAACTAAAAATAAATGTGTATTTCTATATTGAATTTCCAAAAGTTCTATACCACTCCTAATAACCATATCCATGTAGAAGTGTGTAAACGTACTTATTGAAGATGCCCATAGGATGTACTTCCTCAATGCACTGATAGTTTCACTCAGCCTTGTGAATATGCACATCTTGTGTCACAGCTCTCACAGAGCCTGCCTTCTGAACTGTAACTAAAGATCTGAACAATATAACTTTATCATTGCCTGATGGAAGCAATGAATTGTAGGCTATGTAGTCTTGAGAAATCAAGATTGCATCACATCAAGCAGCAGGAAAAGAGACGCAAAGCAAATCGAACTCCAAGAAGTGAAAGTGATGGGCAGACGAATGGCAATACTCACTACATAAAAGGGATTTTTTTCAAGTAAGCTTTGATTGCATTATCAAAAACAACTCTAGTATGTATTCCTATTACAATGCTGATGTTATAACAGGATAGTATATGCTGTGACTTTAGAACTACTTCAACTGTAGATATTGCTAGATTAGCCAAAGGAAGCTATCATTGCAGTCATTTTGATTAAATTGATATTAAGGGGGCTATTCACAAGCCGAGCCAAACTGTACAGCAGCCGAAGGCGGCCGAGCCGAAGGCATTTGCTTCGGCTCTACTGGCCGAAGTGTCAGCCGAAGTGGGGCAAACGGCCTCCCGAAGGCCGGCCTTTCGCCCCGCAAATGACAGCTGGGCAGAACCACCTGTGAACTCACAGCTGGCTCCGCCCAGTTGTAATGACAGATCAGCGTCCCCAAATGACCTGTGGATGCTGAACTGTCATTAAACAATAACAACTGGGCAGAGCCGGCCGTGACATCACCCAGTTGTCATTCATGGGCCGGGACCTGCTAGAAGAAATCAGCCATACTGTGCCGTAGTGAATAGCCAAACGTTGTTCAGCTCACTTCACTACGGCTCGGTTATTCACTTGACTGCCTTTGGCAGCTTTGTGAATAACTCCCTAAAATATCAGCTGTGATATGGAGTGTGTTGTTTGCAATGAGTCAACTGACTCATAGGGGGGGATTTATCAAAACTGGAGCAGATTTGCACTGCGGCCAATTAGTATGTCTCTCTCATTTTCAAATCTTACCTGGGCAAACTGAAGAGAGATGTTGATTGGTTGCCATGAGTAACTGCTCTGGATTTAGTTTGCTCCAGTTTTGATAAATTCCCCCCATAGACTTGCATTTGGTAGCACAAGCACTGTATATGCACTGGAAGGCAAGGAACCCGAGCTTGTATATACAGTTAGGAAACATGGCTGTCCCTATGCATATATACAAATTCAAATTATAAATAGAATATTTTTAAAACATTAATTATTGCTAATCAGATTATTTACACCAAGCTGCTTTCTTTTACATGGGTTAGGGCCGATTCAAAATGAATGGGCTGTGGTAATGCAGCACACCTCATCGTACAATAAATCACATTGCAGCAGTGTAGTATGGTGTGAATGGGGTACAAATGTCCTTTAATAAAAAGGATAAAGGAGTTCTTACTACTATAGTTCTGCTGTAGATATGTTAAGTGATGGAAGGAATCAGATGGGAGAGAGATTGTGGATTTGTTTTTATTACTGTATTGTCACCGTTATGCAAGATGTTTACTATTCCACACAGCAGATTTTTTATCATGATTTTCATACAAGTCAATCAGTTAAAAGTGAGTCTCCACTGGGGCACTAGAGGGCAATAACATCCACTCTGATGACCTGCACTGGGGGCGTTTTTTTAGCCAAGAGTTGACTTCACACTAAATTAGTTTACAGTTTAGTGTCTATACGGGAGAAAACTGGAATGCAGCATTTTTTTTCTTTTGAAATCTCAGAAAAAATGAAACCAGGACCAGGTGGCATCTGGAGGTGGGAGCGACCTAAGTGTAAAATGTAAGGTTCTTTAGCTAAGCCTTTTCAGCTTCGTGAAACTCTGATAAAGACCAGAGACCACATACAAAGAAGAAAGGAATGATTGTTGAAAAACATTCAAGGAGAGCAGCTAAACACACCAAAGTTATCCATAAGCTGCACTGACTAGGGTCAAGCCAGCATCAGAGCTTGTTAGCCCAGGTTACGGGAAATGTGATTTATGCCACCTGGTTCGTAGCGTAACCGTGTTTTCAGATGCATTTTTTTTTCCGATGGCAACCTCCATTAGTGAACTGTGACTTCATGGTTCTGTATAAATTCTGTCTACAGTTTCAGCGTTGTTTTCATTCTTCTGCAAGTGCTTTTGCTTCAGAACTCAGCTCTTCCTTCAAGAGTGTTGGGACTATTGCTTAAGTTGAGAGACAGTTTCAAGAGCACAAATCTGCAGCTGACATGCTATGGCAACATATAGCACTCTACCAAACTTCAGTACAACATGTAATACTTTCCATTTCATATACAGAATGAATATCACTTTCCGAAGTGGCAGCTGAAGCTGTAATCCTCCCTTTGTTTTCTAACATAAGCACAAATAATGCTACTTAAAGAACAATCACTATTATTTCTATAGTATGTCAATATATCCAAACCATTTTTAATTTTTTTAAATTAAGTTTCTCTCATTGTGCTATTTTTTAGTATTAGTATTTTTCACATTATTTTTCATCATACGCAAAACTTCAGGGACCCAGGGCCACATTATTTGCCATCATACGCAAAGGTTCAGGGACCCTGGTTCACATTATTTACCATCATATGCAAAGGTCCAGGGACCCTAGTTAAAATCAGATGTATTGTTGATTTTCAAAGTTAAAAATGTAAAAACTCTGCAACGAAGAAACCAACTTATTATAGCAAATTCTAATCTGCAGTTACTATGTATTTACTCTATTTTATTATTGTAATTTACTGTTAATCTGTATGTTTACGTCAAATATTCAGTGCAAGCAGGCTAAACTAAGAATATATGTGATCTGGAATATTTCAGAACCAAAAGCAACCGCAGCAGGCTACAGCAAAAAAACTTCTGGAGCTGCAATTCTGCAAAGAGGATACTGCTAAGTACTGACTGACAGGGTGTCCCACCTTTTGACACATTTACATTTTTTTCCAGTTTGGTAAATGTAAAAAAATAAAATCAACAACATAAAAAAATCAACAACACATGTAATTTGGGAAAGGGTACAAAACATAAGAAGTTTTCTTAACACATAGTGGAATCATATCCCTGCACGTTTTTAGCTTAGTAGCGTAAATCTTTATTCTGTAGCAGGAATTACAAACGTTTGCACATGTTTTGGTGATGTGATTTAACTTATCTGAATTTAAGATAGTCTTGTAATGTCTTAATCGGTCTTTATTTTTTCCCCCATTTTTTTACATGATTGCATTACATAATCTGATTTTAAAACGCATTTGCAACAGTGAAAATAGGGATAACATAATTCATTAACAGGTGATTTCAGTAATGTTTTCTGTACCAAAGATACAGACATAAAGATCAAAATGAAAATTTGTAGAACAAACATGATATTTATATAGGCTCTGCATTTACTAAAGATATTTGCTGACAGTTTACAACTGGAGCTCATATTCTTAATTTGATATGAGTCACGAATTTCAAACAATTCTTATACATGTTTGGCACAATATTCTATTGTTCATCATAAGTGACTAAATCATCTAGTATGAGTTTCATGGTACAAATTGCAAATTGTTAATAACTAACAAACTTTTGCGCATGTTTAGATAATGTTGCAATTAAATTAAGCAAAATTTGTCATGTTCAGCAGACGGCGATCAGATATTAGGAGAT